TCGGCCGCCGAGCTGGCGGGAGGTGGCCCTGTGCAACCTTGAGCTGGCCTGCTGCTGCGCCGCCTTCGCCGCGGTCGTGTGGCTGGCCTGCCAGCCTGACATGGAAAACCCTGATGCGTCGCTTGCTGGAGCTGTTCTCGGGGACTGGGTCAATGGGCAGAGCCTTCGAGGAGCTGGCGTGGGAAGTCACCTCGCTTGACGTCGACCCCAACGCCTGCCCCACCATCGTGGCGGACATTTGCGCCTGGGAGCCGCTGCCCAAGTTCGCTCCAGGCCACTTTGACATGATCTGGGCTTCCCCCGTTTGCACCGAATACAGCAGGGTCCTGACGCGCAGGCCCAGGCGCCTCGAGGAGGGCGACCGCCTGGTGCAGCGAACTCTGCAGATCATCCAGGAGCTCCTTCCTCGCTTCTGGGCCTTGGAGAATCCTGCCACCGGGCTCCTGAAGCTCCGCCCCTTCATGGCGGGCCTGCCCTGGCAGGACGTCAGCTACTGCACCCACGGCTACCCTAACCGCAAGCTCACCAGGATCTGGGGCAACTTGGACTGGGTGCCCGAGCGACCGGTTTGCGGCGTTGGCGGCTTTCGCTGCGAGCACCCTGAGGTGGCGCAGAGGGGAACTTTCCGCCGCAAGGGCGAGATCGTGCAGAACTGCCACACCAAGGGCCAGCTGCACAGCATCCCGCCAGCCTTGTGCCGGGAGATAGCCTCTGTTGTGAACGCGCGCGCGGTCACGCGGCCCGAGACTTAGCCTTCTTGCCTTTGTTTTCCAACGCCTCCACTCTGGATTCGCAAGCCAGGAGCTTGCTTTGCAGTCGCTTGCAGACGCCCCACAGCACGGCGGTGAGCTTGCCGTAGTCCAGAGTCAGAAGCTGCTCCTGCTCCCGCTGCGTGGTGCCAGTGATGCCGGTGCCCTCAAAATCTTGGGCGATGAAGCCCAGGCGGTCCTTGAGATCGGCGTCCACGCGGTCGCACCGCTTGGGAGCCACGCCGTCGAAGATGGCCTGCAGTTCCTCCAGGTCGGCGTCCCTGACGTTCTGCTTGATCCTGGCGTCGGACAGGTCGTTCTGGCC